GTGGTGGCGCCGCCGCCTCAGCGCGGGGGCAGCGGCGGCGCCGGCTCGAGCCCCGCGGAGGGAAACACGGGGCCGGCCGCAGCACCCCCGCACCGAGGCGGCCGGCCGGCTGCCGCCCCCCCGCGCTACCCAACACACTGCAGCGACGCTCGGCTTTCACTGCCACAGCACAGGGCCGCGGGCTTTATTTTGCTGTTGGCAAACGCGAGCCGACAGGGCTGTCAGTGTCCCCAGGCGGTGTCGTTCACCTGCGGCCAGCGGGGCTTGGACGGACACTGGGGAYGGACACTGGGGAYGGACACTGGGGATGGACACGTCCCCTTCGGTCACTGCGCTCTGGTCATCGGGGTCGCCCTCCCGGAGCCTCTTGTGATTAAACCTAGAGAGACATCAACTCCGGTTATTAGCAGGGAGCAAGGAGCGTCCATGCGTCCAAGGTGAAAGGGAAGCGATGGTTTACAAAACAACAGCAAATCTTTATATTTAAATAATGCTCCATCTAGAGAATTAACTTTTCTAAAGAGCAGAGGCTGAGAGACTTCTCCCATCTTCTTYGTTTAGCTTCATTAAATTTAAAAGTGAGCAATGATAACTTACTGAAAGATKTAAGAAAGTTGTTTTCAATAGCAAAACATGAAGTAAAAGAAAAGTTACCTGACCTAAGCTATGTTGGGGAACTCTATCACCAGTGACATCAACTCAGATAAAGCCAATTACTCCTATTACACAAAATCCKATCTTGTTTGCTCAGAGGCCTACACAGGCAGTCTCAATTAAGCCAAACAGGCAACATGAGTGCACATGAATCTGTGTTTACATTCATCTACGGGATTTATTAAAGAACATACATCTCTGCATACAATTTCAGGAATCAACCGAATTCATCTGTCAAATTGGTAATTATAGTCTGCATTTTTTATTCTCACCTGCGTTTCTCCCTGTAAGTTGACATTGATTTTGCTCCATTTTTTTGTTTCTCATCTGTTCAGCAGCCATTTCTTGACGCAAATACTAATACCTTTCCTCAGGGGCATCTCTTCACAGAATTACCACTTATAAACCTGCACAACAAATAAAATCACTTAAAAAAGGCTATCTTTCCTTCTCCTAAAATGGAGAGACAAACAACTTCATTACAACTTCACAACAATACAAGTCTTGAATAATTTTCTTTTAAAGAAAAGATGCTTTCTTATTACCTTAAAACATAGGCAAGCTTGACATAGATTAGGAAGGTATCTGAGAGCCTACATTATAGGTGTGCATAACTGAAAATGATTTTATGCACCATTAAAATCATTTACGTATGATTTATAGGGCAATTGACCAGACCAAAATCCAGAAATCTACAGTAACAACATTGGGTTCAGTGCCTGGGCACACCTGATTGGTTTATTACATTCTGTTCATGCTTCATCATCATCATCATCATCATCATTTTCTTGTCTATTGACTAAATTGGATACCTCCTACTGTGCTGATGCGAGTGGCCTAAAGGCAATGTCTTCCAAGTTAGGTTTTACACTGCATCTGACAGAAAGCACGACAACGGTATTTGAAATCAAAGGACAGTTTAACTATATTGTTAATGTTTGCTCAGCGCATAGGCCCCAAAGGATATGGAGAATCTTACTGGGGAGGGAAATGAGCATATTTTCAATTTATCCTCAGGCAATGCCAGGGCACTATACAGAAATAAAAGCCCCTGGAGTAAGGCTGAGGAAGTGCCAACACAAAAACACAACTACAGTTCAAGTATTTAGCAGTGTACCTAGCACAGAGAAAACAAAAGCAATTAGTAAAATGTTCTTATAAAAGAAAAAATCATTCAAGCATAAATTATTCAAACGTACAATAACTTATGGCATACCTCTTGAAAATATCCTGGATGTCACCTCAAATATCAATATAACTGAYGTATTTTGTACATAGGCGTGTCCTGTGCTATAGCTACATATGCATTTTGCTTATATAACAAATAGGCTTATTGGATTAATAGATTAATTAATCTCTAATTAGATTAGAGACTCAAATAAATAACTTCCCTCTGGCATTTTCACTCCTGCTAGTGTCTGTTTGCTATTAATCTGAGTAAGAAATCCWCTCACCAGGTAACAGACAACTTTGAGCATCGCCCTCTTTCACTGTTATGTGATAAAATAGAAAAGCTCCGGTACCGGAAGCGCTGGAATCATGTCCATCCAAATCAGCACACAATGTTCCTCTTGCTTTCAGCTCCTAAACCAACACCACAGCCTTCATCTTGCCTGTTTATGAAATAAGAACTTAACAGTTCTGCATACAGAGATCAAGTCAGATAACAACGTTAGCTCAGTTTTATCAATTTTTTGACTCATTACCTGATTCATGCTGCACCAATTGGGTGTCTAGAAATTGTAGAAAATTAAGCCTTACTATCTGCTCCAGTGGGTGGAAATTGGAAAATATCTGTTCTTTTAGATTAAATTTGAAGCCCTTCATTTCATTGTTATATTAATGAGAGGAAGTTATAATATATTAAAGTCTTATTTCATTCTAATTTGTAGCAGCTTGGGCTGTTAACTACTCAAGAAATAGCTAACAGTAATGAAGTGGGTATATGACCCGAAATATGAAGAATTTGGCTTAATGTAGCTGAGTGATTAGTAAAGTTTTATGACAACACAAGATAAAGGTAAAAACACTCATTATCAGAAGAGAGCAAGAGAAAAATGCCTCTATCCCTAAAGCTACAAAGATAATTCTCCCTCTTGCTTACCCCTGCCATTGCTTTTGTAAGAATTCACACAAACACACACATAAAGATACGTCATGCTTGAAAATAAAGTAGAATAACTATGTAAATAATAATTGCCATGAATGAATATGAAAGAAGAAGTAAGTAACCTAAGAGTTGAAGAACAGAATAACGTATCTGTGATATAAGGATGGATGTAAGGTTTGATATTTTAATGAATAAAACTGCTTTCCTATTCTATGCCTGCTGGCAATAAAATGGGACCTTCAAACTACCTTTGGAGAGTCCCCTATARCAAATCAAAAAGTGTCTTCTATTTCAGCAAATAGATATGCAGTCAGTAACCTGGTAAACTATACACTGTTCATGACAATTTAGCATACCCTGTCATTCAAAAGGTTAATATTTCACTTGAGCTGGACACCAAAGAGTAGATAATGATCTAGACACAGTGATTAAGTCATCCAATGTCTCATTAAAAAACTAATTTGTCCAGGAAGGCAGTTAAGACTTTTTTTTTTTTTAATGAAGGAAAGCAATTTAATTTCACAGATTTACAATATTACAGTATGAGGATATTTAGTATTTGTCAACTAAGCACTCCATTTCAAATGGAAATGAGGTGAGATAACATGTGAAACACGCAGTGTCAATATTAAGGCATTAGTTTAATGCCTGAGTAAACACCACTACAAGATGAAATTCACTGGAAATACAAACAAAGGATATTAAGTGAAGGAAAACATAAACCAGGATATTCATCTCCTAAATAATTTAAGGAGTAAGTTCAGACAAAAGTTATGAAACAATCACAACTGCMTAAATTATAAATGCAGACTACTGCTTTTCATCCTGTATTTTTCAAACACTGTTTATGCTCCCTTTCATCTTCTGAAACAATTAGATATAATTAAACATAGAAAGAAGAGATTACCGAGAGCAATTACCGCTTAGTGTGGAACACCATCAGCCCGCAGAGCGCTGCCATTGCACCGTGTTCTCCAGGCTTCCCTGTGACATTTAAAAATAACCTAGCGGTAATCAAGCTCTCTCGCTGTAATTGAAATGCTTGCTAATTTTAACAGTGACGGAATCATTAAAGGCCACTGCAGAGACATGCACGGGGTGACAGGAGTCTCCATGCACAGACGTGTGCTGGTTGGAATGATCACATTCCTGCACGTGCTCATATTTCCTTTTACCTGCCCCCAAACAGGGCTGTTAAATTAAGGACCGCTACCTGACATAACCCGAAATAATTCTTATTTCAAATATTATTTTGAATAATAATTCAAAATAATTCTAGGGTATTTCCCCAAGGAAAGGGATGCTGCTATTAAAAGATTTATCTTGCAGATACCTGCCCGCTGATTGTGGTGTTCTTCCCTCCCTCCTGCAGGAGTCAGCTCAGGAAATCCAGGTGGGATGTGGCAATCCCTGGGATGGAGGAAGGTGCCCACGGGGTCTTTCAGGCAGAACCGAATCCRTCAAGTTAATGACTGAGAACAACAAATGAGAGCAATGAGAATAAGATTTATTCCGTAAGTTSTGTGACGGCAAGAAAATTAAAAAGCAAACGAGCGCCAAAGATATTTCAGGGGAGGGGAAAGAAGGAAAAAAAAAAAACGCAAGTAGAAAAATTTAATTCGCGAAGCAAAAAATCGAGTCASAGAGAGCACGAGTATTTTCTGTGAGGGAAACCTGTGTTCTCCGTGCGGGCTCGGCGGCGGGGCCAGGGCAGGGACCGCCCAAGGCGGGAGAGCGGGGAGGCCCCCCCCGCATCGCGGGCGATACCACCGCGGAGCCGCGCGGGGGCGCCGCTGTGGCAGGGACGGCGCATGCGCGGGAAGTCCCGCGCCTCTTGGCCCCCCCTTTATTAACTCCATGTTAATAATGCCCACAAAATAAAACATACACATAGTAAAATATAAGAAATAGCCATTTATGTTTATTTTGCTTTCTCCAAAGATTATAGGCAGAAATTCCCATCGATTTCAACAGCAACATAGGTGTCACTTTGGAGGGTTTGTGAGGAGCAAAGATATTTTGCTCAAATTGAGAGGGACACAAAGTTTTGAAGAGCAAACGGCTCAATCTGGAGCAGCCGGTAACTCCTACAGCCTGACTGACACACATACAGCAGGGCCTCCCCTTCAAATTTATGTTTCTATACTAAAACCCTGAAGAAACATCAAGCCAATCCTTTCTAAACAGTCTGCTCTGACAAAGAGCCAGAAAACTTGGAGGCCTTTATTCATTGATTTCTGTTCAAGGAGCGAGAAGTTGACCTGAACTACAATATTCAGCAAGGGCCACAGGGTTTGGTTCACATCAGAGGCACTGAGTGCTGAGATGTGTCCTGAGGCGACAGGACAGCTGTGCTTGTGTGGACAGGTGAGAAGGCACCGCGGCCCTTCTGCCTAGGAAGGTGTCACAGACCATGAGCAGAACATTTTATGGAGTGGAGCACGTCTCCATACAACCCTCAGAGGGGCTGGTTATCAGACCTGGAGAGACTTGTTTCACTCTCATCCCCTTCCAAGGTGTTCTCTGGTTCGGGAGGGCAGAAGGGCTGCAAATGTCATTCCTTTTTTCCTCCTCAGAGTAGTAACCAAGAACCAGGACTCAAGGCAGAGTTGACAGAAGCAGAGCAAGAATTTGGAAGTGCACAGATGCCCAGAATGCACAAAACCAAAGGAGGAGGAACACGCTCCTTAGACACATGCTTCCCACACCACTGCACAAATTCCTCTATTCTGAGCAGCTTCCTGGGAAGTGAAAATTCACACAAATTCAATGCAGCCCAAAGAAAATATGAACCATTCAACCCCAAAGTCTAGCAGATGGCTAGATGGCTTCCACCAAAATCCGAAGCAAACTAGAAAAAAGACATTGAGCAATCCACCATAGGCAACACGAATCTTCATGGCTGCACACCTTCATGGTCTACTACGTAGAAAGACAGTATTTCGACGAAGACATCTTCCAGATAAAACACTAGGTCTTAAAAATGTTTCAGTTCACTTTTGAAAATAAAGAACTCTGAGTAAGAAATCTTAATTTTTTTTTAAGACTGCAAAGATTTAAAAAGTATGGAAAAACTCATTCCATGGCAGCAGAATTCAGAATCATTGACATGATAAGGAATGCTAACGCATGCATATTTATCCCACAAGAAAGTCATCGATGTCATGGAAAAATAAGAACTTTTTTTCCCCTACATTTAATGAACCTGATCTCTAAACACTAGTAAAATTCCCCAAAAATCTTGGGAGTCAAAACTGCTTAATACTAACAAAAATGTATATTTAAAATGTTTTACTCCATCTGCATGTAGGGATTATACATATTTAAAATACTATTTTCCAGGCAAATATGTAATAAAACCTATGCAAATAACAATTAAGATTTCTTGCAATACAAGATTCTTTTCGAAAGCATGTTTTTCATTACATTATTTTCAAGTATTCCAGTCAAACGAATGAGTGGTATAAGCAGCAGCTTCTACTTTTTCTTCTGCAGTTTTCCCCACCTGACTTCTCCTGGGCATCTGTTCTTCATGCATGCAAACCTCTGCTTTACTGCATTCTTGGATTTTTAAAGGCCACTATTTTTTTTCTTAAACAAAGCAAATTGCAAGATGTAAGGGTCCCAGATGCAGCCACTTCTTGGCTCACTCAGAATCATCATCACAACCATCACTGCCTTCGAAATCACTGTTCTGTAAAGCAAAAAGGAAAATGGATTGTCAGTATTTATTTCTGGTGACTGTCCATATAAATCAAACACACTGTCTCTTACACTATTCGGAAGTTTAAGAAAATGGAGCAAGATCCTAACTTCATAGCCATCTAATGTAATAAACCTGTGTAATGGTAAGAAGTTATTTGCAGCAGGCCTTGTACACTGGATWACACTCACCAGCAAAAGTCTCTTTTCAATTATGTTTATAGCTTGCAGCATATGAGAAACTCAGAATTGGCTAACAGCGTAAATTGCTGATACTCAAAACAAGTGCAGGCAAGAGACTTGCAGGTGCTTTTTCTTCCTTGAAAGTCGTTCAAAAGCTACATTTATTACATCATCTAAATCCAGATTTTGGAGTTTTGCAGTAAGCCTTGTCAACTTCATCATCAAGACACCTGAGCCAGGTTAAGTGCTGTCTGTGCCACACGATCTCTTTGGGTCCCATTTCAAACTAATGTGTCATTTTACAAGAGTTTTACCTCTTGTCATGAGCATTCTCATAGAGCATTACAATGCAGAAAAACAATGACCAGAAGTACAAAAATAATCCCAAGAAGTTTCTGCTTGGGCTATTCAACCAAGACTGTAAACTTTTGGTTGTAATCTTTGGGATGTAAACTTTATTTTACATGTTGAAACAGGACCATTCTCTAGACAAAACTATTTTTAAAGGCTTCATTAAATTTTAAAATTAGTGCTAGAACTGAGAACAGCAGTTAAACACATTAACTAGTAATTAACACATTCACAATTGCGAAAGTTAGTTATGTATCCACAATTTGTGTTGTCAACTTGTGATTCTGCAAGCCTGTGTTTTAGAAAATTCTTTCCTCCTCCCTCAATTGCCCCATACRAAATGCTGGGAGAAAAAAAAAAAGCACAAAACAAAACAAACAAAAAACCACATATTTTGTATAGTTGTTTCCACTGACATCAAGTGCATAGAGACTAAAAAGATAAAACACATTTCAGGATCCAGGTAACTGTCATCTTCCACAGAAAACAAAAATGTTATTAAGGGAAGAACCATTTTAAGTTGACAGCTTCCCTTTGAAAAGCCAATTGCTCCAATGGTTGTTACCTTTGAGGTTTTGTTGTTAGTTTGCATCCCAACTGCAGAAGAGTTGAAGTCATGAATGGAAAGCGTGCTCAGCCAGTTCATCATGGATTTCTCCTCCCTTTCCGTGTTGATAATAGTAGGATAGATGTACTGCTCTTTGAAAACAGCAATCTTCTCCTCCTCCTCCTTCCACTCGAGTGGCTCGTGCAGCCCATCATTTCCAAAACGCCTGTTGTACTTCTCAAAGTGCACCCTTTCCAGGACCAGCCCAAGTCCTGGAGCTTTGGGGACATCTACTTTCTCCTCCTCCCAGCTGCGTGCTATGATGGACTCCTCAGCATAACCTTTCACAATTGCTATCACCAGTCCAATCATCTTCCTTATTTGGTGCATCATGAAGCTCTGACCTTTTACTTGGATCACTGCAAATTCTACGTTTTCCCTTACAAATGGCTCTCCACAGTACATTTCCATTATGTATCGCTTGGCACTGGGGTCCTTGGGTCCCTTCTGAGACGTAAAGTTGTGGAAATTGTGTGTTCCTTTGTAGCAAGCGAGCAGTTTGTTCACTTTTTCAAGAGTCTCTTTATTCAGGCGATAAGTCTCCTCTTGCACATCATGGTCTTTATGGGCAAAGGCAAATGTTGGCAGCATGTAAGAGTAGGTTCTAGCATCACATTTGTTCTTGGAGTTGAATCCTCCGGTGACTCTCTTCAGCCCTGATTTTAAAAGTAAAGATTTGAAACAGTAGGTTACAACCTGAATGCAATTATATTTTAAAAATAATAACACAACAAAAGATTTTATACRACGCTAATTTTAAAATAACAGAAATATATTGATTTAGGTTAAAATTACAATGACAGAAGAGTGATCTTCTGTGGGAGAGAGTGCCTCTTTAAAGGCACTTCCTTTGCCTGTTCCAGTATCCTTACCCAGAATTCTGATGTGAGAAGGAAGATGGTTATTGATCTTTTCTAAGACATCATCTATTAGTCTGACTTTCAGTGACACAATCTGTCCAGCTGCAGATACACCCTATAAAAACCACAGAACACACAGAGGTAATTAATTATGTGCTTTGGAAGCTCTAGAGCAGCACCTGCAGAATTGAAATAGCTGAGGAATGAGTTTAATCCCTTTTTATCCCCACTAATCCTTTCAGGCAGAAGTGAGACAAAGACAAGGCCAAATGCAGAAATGCAAGTTAGATTACTCTTCAACTTCACCTTTGCACAGTGGTGTTTCCCCACCCCATATCTGAAACAAAGTTGACCTAGAACCACAGATTTGCCTAAGCCACAGAGAAGCCAGCAGCAAAGCCATGTACAGGCTCCTTTCTCAGTTCCACATTTCAACCACAAAACATACCCATTATCCTTCAGATGAGTATGATTTAATGTGCTAGCACTGTAGACATACCACACCTTTGCCTCAGACAATAAAATATTTCACTTCCTTTCATGACATCTCACTGTATTTAAGCAAGAGCTGAAAATAAATTATTTATATGTAAAATCAGCCATGAATTTCAGGGCTAGAACCCCACTGCGGCAGCTTTAAGGATGACTGAGATGCAGCTTTAAGTTCTCAAGCTCCACACCAACCAGGCAGCACCCACTGAGAGAAGCAGCAGCAGGCTGGGGGGCAGAAACAGATGAATGTGATAGAAATGCAAACACAGCTAGAACACAAAGCACCAACTTTACCAACATTATCCAGACAGTGTCCTGCATCTTTCTAGGGCGTTTTCTAGCTTTCTAGATAGTTATTTGTACTTATCTTTAATACTAGATAAAAGAAGAATTTTCACATAACATCCATTCTGAATAACATCTACCAACCAGCACACCTTATCYGTTCGAGCACATCTCTGGAAAGACATTTTCTTCATATCTTCCCCATGATTTTCTGGAATGCAGCCTGATTGAACAAGGGCAGATACTAAGTCATCTTCAATTGTCTTGAACTGCGAGGATCCCACATTTCTCTACAAGAAAAGGAAAGACATAATAATAAAAGAAATAGAACAAGTAATAACTAAGTAACGTTCCTAAAGACCAGCACTGAACAATGTTACATTGTTACAAGATTCTTTACSATCATGTTTTACAAATCCTAAAAGTGCTGCCATTCTCTAACAAAGTTAACCACATTTCACCTGAGATGGCTAATAAAACATCTACATTCTCATTTAACTTTTACTATATTATTGGAAGTAAAAATGCATTTTTAACTTTCCTGCGGAATACTTCTGCAATGCATTTTTGTTGTTGTTTTTTCACTCACCTTTGTGCACGAAACAGCCCCACTGATACACTGCTCCAGTRTGCAGCCTGGACACTAACCACTGCTGCTCCCAATCTAGCAAACGGGAATTGTGCTCCTAGAGGTTCATTTAATTCTTTTGTTCAGTTCGCCTGAGCTCTTCCAAGATTCAGACTGCAACATTCTCCAGGATCTTCTGCACTAAACTTCGATGGATTTTGACATAAATGTACAACTGCAATGCTGCCAAGCACCACCCCCTCCAGCACACACCATTCAACTGAAAGTGCCCTAAAACACACACATACAGCCACAAGCTAAAGGTTTACTGCAGCTGAAGAAATCTACTTTGCTGCATAAACATGGAAGACCCGTCCCTTGTCTATGTTGAACTACCACCAATTATTCCACGGAGGTTTTAGAGGAGCGTGTGTGGAGCTTGCAGTTTGCGGAGCAGAGCAGCAGATGGAGCAGCGTGATCCCGCTGCGTGGCCGGCATCGCGCCGGGGCTGCCAGTGCAACATCCCCTTTCCTCCCCATGCAAACATAACAGCCTTGCATCAGTTCGACAGTTTCTAAGCTGCTGTAAGCCAAGGCATCAGAAAAGGAGCCCTTGCTATGGCTTCAAGCACAAGTTTAAATGTTTAAGAGAAAACAATACAAATAAGGATTTGTTTCGTTGAAATATGCAGCTCAGTTCTCTAGAATCTGGGCACTTTGCATAATGCCACAATGCCTGAGGCCTAACCTAARGCAAACTCTGTCCAACAGCTCTGAAAGGCAAAGCTCGAACCAGAAACTAGACGAATAATCCAAAGAGGATCATGAAACAGCACTTCAGCCTTTGACAGGCTGCAGAGCTGGTGCTTTCRGCCTCCTCCAGAGCCTTGTCAACAGCACAGGTTTTCTCGAAAATCTGTGTTGATGCTTTAATATGAAGGCAGATCCACTAGAATCAGACCTCAGAAACATGCAATTAATCGGTTATTCTTCACTTGGATTCCACCTGCCCAGCCTTCTGAAGCCACGGCTGCTTCTCAACCACTCWGAGTACACCTGCAGACCTGACAAGCTCTAAGAAGTGCAGAAAGCTGCACTGTTTGACCAGACCACCTACCTGCATCCCGTGGTAGCCTTTCCCTGAATAGGCCATCAAGAGCACGATCTTCCTTTTGGGCCATTTCTTGGCCTGCTCCTCCGCGTCCTCCTCASCGGCCCGGCTCCTCAGCCGCTTGGGCAGGTGCCCGTTTTCCTCCGGCCGCGCGGGCTCCTCGGGGCTGCTCGGCGGCCTCTTGGGCTGCCCAGCGACGGCCGCCCTCACCTCCTCAGCCATGGGGAGAGGCTGCAAGGGGCACGAGAGCGCTCAGCGGGGGGTTAGGGAATGAAGAGGGACCCCGCCACGCACCCGCGCGCTCCCCCAGGTGACCGCTGTTCACCGCGGCCAGGGCAGACCCCGCCGGCGGCTGCGGGGCCGCGTGCGGGCAGAGGGACCAGCGCCCTGTGAGCGGCGCCGTCCCGCGTGCCGTGCGGCGCGGCCGCGGTACCTACGCGCCGGGGCGGGGGGATGGTGCCGGTGGCGGTGCCGGTCCGGCCGCGCGCCGCTCCCGCTCCCGTTCCCGTTCCCGCCGGGCCGCCCCGGCGCAGCGCGCTC